ACGGAATGAGAACACTCTTCAGGACACCCTCCGTCTCCTGACGTTGTGGTTCAAGTACGGAGGCCATGACGACGTCAGCAACGCAATGAGCAGCGGTTTCGGTGACGTCGAGGTGGACACCTGGTTGGAGGTTATCCCCCAGATTATCGCTCGAATTCAGACGCCAAGCGCAAACATCAGACGGAATATAAGCAGTCTGCTCAACGACGTTGGGAGACACCACCCTCAGGCCTTGGTGTACCCTCTGACAGTCGCTTCCAAATCGTCGAGCGAGACGCGTAGAAATGCCGCGCTCGCGATCATGAATCATATGAAGGAGCACAGTCGGAATATAGTGGAGCAGGTACAGTTTTCCGTGGGCTGTTCGTCTCAATTTTCTGACCGTTCGATACGGCAGGCTCTTCTCGTCGGTCACGAGCTTATTCGCGTTGCGATCTTGTGGCACGAGCAATGGCACGAGGCACTGGAAGAGGCGTCGCGTCTCTACTTCACCGACAAGAACCCGCTGGGCATGATAGCGTATCTGGAGCCGTTCCACGACACTCTTGAGAAGGTATGCAAATTTACATGATAAGTTGCTACGTATATGTGTCTGACGTCCGATGCGTTTAGGGCGCGCAAACAGCTCGAGAAACAAGTTTCATCCAAGTGTTCGGACGTGACTTGCTTGATGCACGGCAAGCGTGCAAAAGGTATCAGGCATATGGAGACACGAAGGAACTGGACAAGGCATGGGAGATCTACTACGGGGTGTTCAAGAAGATCGAGAAGCAACTACCTCAGTTGACAACTCTCGACCTTCAGTTTGTCTCGCCCGAGTTACTCAAGGCGAGGAACCTGGACTTGGCAGTACCTGGTGCGCTTCATTAAGACACGATGTTGTATGCTTCAGTTCACACGTAACCCTGCAGGTACCTATCATGCTGGCCAGCCAATCGTCACCATCACTTCCTTCTCCTCGAAGCTGACCGTTATCTCGTCCAAACAACGTCCGCGTCGATTATCACTCAAGGGCAGTGACGGAGAGGACTACGAATTTCTTCTCAAAGGTAGCTTAACGTTCAGTGATTTCCGGGACCATTGTTGACGAGGCTTGGGACTAGGTCACGAGGACTTGCGGCAAGACGAACGAGTCATGCAGCTATTCGGTCTTGTCGATAACCTCCTCGCCGTGGATACAGACTGCTTTAAGCGGCGCCTACATATCCAACGGTTCCCTGTCATACCGTTGGCGCCGAATGCAGGTCTGGTTGGATGGGTCCAGGACAGCGATACACTGCATGTCCTGGTGCGCGACTACCGAGAGTCGCGCAAGGTCCTGCTGAACATCGAGTACCGCTTGATGCTACAGGTATGCTTTTCTTCTGCAATATTTGCTGCAGACTATAACATATATCATGCTAGATGGCACCAGATTACGAGAACCTCATCTTACTCAACAAGATCGAGGTGTTCGAATATGCTCTCGAGAACACTACCGGTCAAGACCTGTACCGCGTACTCTGGCTCAAGAGCGTCACCTCGGAGCATTGGTTGGAACGGCGTGCAACATACACGCGCTCGCTTGCGGTAAATAGCATGGTTGGACACATTCTCGGTTTGGGCGACCGACACCCCTCCAACGTGATGCTCAAGCGCAACACGGGCAAGATCGTCCACATCGATTTCGGCGACTGCTTCGAGGTTGCGATGCATCGTGAGAAGTTCCCGGAGAAGATTCCTTTCCGTCTGACGCGGATGCTCACGCATGCGATGGAGGTCAGCGGCATCGAGGGCAGCTTCAGGATCACGTGCGAGATCAGTATGAAGGTCCTGCGGGATAACAAGGAGTCATTGATGGCAGTACTGGAGGCCTTCGTCTATGATCCTTTGATCAACTGGAGGTTAATGCAGACCGACACCGAGGCTCGGAGACCTGAAGGTAGGAATATATCGAGACGTGTTACTCCAACTCTCATAATCTTTTTAGGTTCTACGACCGCCTCTCGGACTGAGATGGCTCGCGTTGCAGCATATCCGCAAGCGCCTTCACGCAAGCTCAAGGCGGATGAAAACGACATCTTCAATGGTACGCTAATCATCACTTCTTTCCACGAATCACACTGATGTCTCGCCAGAGGACCAGGAGATCCGGAACGAGCGAGCTGTCTTCGTCTACAATCGCGTGCAAAACAAGTTGACTGGTGCGTTCAACGACCCTGTTAGATGACATTGCTTCCTCACCTTGAACTGTGCAGGCCGAGACTTCAACCTGGATGTCTCTCTGACCGTACCAGAGCAAGTGGACAAGCTCATCATTCAAGCCACTTCGCTCGAAAACCTATGTCAATGTTTCTCTGGATGGTGTGCATTCTGGTGATTTGTGGACTGTTATCATGCTGTATCGCCTGGCGCGCTCGATCTACACGGCGTTCAAGGCGCACGGGCGGCGCGAGCTCGTCCCGGGCGACTTCTATCCCGCATTCCCGACCCAGGCGGCGGCGCAGGCGGCGTTCAGGGTGTTTGATAAGGACAACAACGGAAACATCACGCGCGCGGAGGTCAAGGCGACACTGCTGGAGGTGTACAAGGAGCGCAAGTTCCTGAGCCGGAGCATGCGCGATGCGAGCCAGGCGCTGGAGACGCTCGACCAGATCCTGCTGTTCTTCGGGTTTGTGATCCTGTTCTTCATCTCGCTCAGCATATTCGGCGTGAACATCACGAAGTCGCTCACGAGCTTGTACACGCTTAGTATCGGCGCGAGCTTCATCTTCAAGAATGCTGCCGGGAATGCGTTCGACGCGATCATGTTCCTGTTTGTCACGCAGTAAGTCAGCGACCCGATCTCACATGCTCAGCAGCTCACGTCCCGTCTAGTCCCTTCGATACGGGCGACCGCTGCTTCATTGACGACGAGAACTTTGTAGTGAAGAAGATGGGTCTGTTTGCGGTAAGCTGTCCGTAACGATGAGCATATACGACTCGTAGACTCAACACATCCCGAAGACTATATCCGCCCGTAACGACGGCACCGAGACCTACTATTTCAACAGCCAGCTGTTCAACAAATTCATGTAAGTTTCTCACAGCGTCCCGTAGCTCACCCTATTGTGCACTTCTCACAACGCACCCTCCTCCAGCATTAACGTCCGCCGCAGCGGGGTAAGCTGACTTGATTTCGTTACCAAGTGAGATACTGATGGCACGTTGCAGAACATGGCAGAGGCCGTCACGTTGCAGGTAGCATGGAAAACACCACTTGAGAAGCTCGATGAGCTGGAAAAGTGTTTGAATGACTGGCTGTCCAGGGAGGAGAATCGGTGGTACGAACCGAGTACCGGTGTTACTTTGCAGAACGTCAACTACCAGCGCTACATGGAGGTCACTGTCGGTATCCCCCACAACAGGTGTGTATGCCTCGTGCCCGCCCGTGCTCTCTGATGCTGAATACGTTTATGTGCAGCAACTGGCAAGACTGGGGCCTCCGACTGCAGCGCAAGACCGCGTTCCACGCCGCGTGCCAGTTCTTCTGCCGCCAGCTGAGCATTGTCTTCTACGAGTCGGCCATGCCGGTCGTCTGGGCCGACGACGACACGCTCGAGCCCATCTCCTCATCGCCCATGCCTCCCTCCCCTCTGGCCGGCGAGGACGAGGTGTCGGACATGCCGGACATGTCGGAGGCAGAGCCCGCACACAAGAGCGAGAGCGTCAGCTGGCTCGGCTTCCAGCCGCCGGCGTACCTCCCCACAAATATTCGTGCACGCAAGTCGCGGAGCAAGAAGGCTATGCTACGCAGGATGGGCGGGGACGGCGGCGGAGGAGACGGCTAATCCCCTGTGTCGGCTAGC